CACATGATCCACTCATAGAATATACTTTTAATTTTTTATTATATTTATCTTTAATAGGTATAATAAATAGTACATTATTGATATGGTTAATTTTAAGTTTATTTGTCGTTTTGTAATTTTAAATTATGCGATTATTGTTCATTATTGACATCTAAAAGTATAACATGATTTGATCTGTTATTAATTCACTACCCGGTACATGTGTTAATATATACTTTTATGTTTCATTGTTTTATTCTAATTTTCTACTTACTGCTAGGTTGACACTTCCATCCTTCCACGGCGGTGGAGGAGGTCGGCAATTTGAAATATACATGGAAGATAAAGTGGATCTTTAACTCTTGTATTCTTGTAGAAAGCAGTTCGAACCATCAGTGTCTCTGTAAATACTTGTTGCTGTCCTAGGGAGTTTTTAGTTCTATGTACCGCATCCTTAGAGGTGCTTTAATATATTTTGCTAGAAAACCAGTTACTACAATCTTTCTAAAAGAACCTTTATTTTTAAAATTGTTAGATTTATTTTATTATCTTTTTTTTGTGCTTTTCAACATTTTATATTTTGCATGTGTGTTTGTCTTGTTTGATACCATAAATCGGGCATACTTTTTTCAAATATCAGCCTGTCTTTCATTTAAAGCAGCTGATTAAATTGTCAACAGTTTTGATGAAAACTGTAAGCATGGTTAAATTGCTTCAAAATTATTGTTTAAAATTATCGATTTTTTTTAATTTGGTCGAAAGTATATCAAGTGATATGAAAACAAACAAGATGAATCTTGAATGGATGATTTGCATAAGTAATGCTTGTGTGTTTTCTAATTCTTACATGTGTTGTCGCTAACCTTACCTTGGCATTGACCCTAGGGTCTATGCTTGTAGCAAGTTAATTTGAACTTTTTTTACAGGGATCAGATCATGCCTGCCTATCCATTTCAGCTTTTTTATAAGGAATGCCGCTGAAAACCATGCTTATCATCATTATGACTTTTCATTGTAAAAAATTCCATTGCCAAATTTCATGCACCACTGTTTCTCATTTATCCCATCATTTTTTTTCCATCTCCAAACTCCAGGCTCCTGTCACATTTCCAGAGTACTTCTTCAACTTTCAGCAACAAAACCAAGTCTTCCACGTTCCTAGCCGACCAAACACCCCACCGCAATCACCACCTATCACCACAGCAACAGAAACAGGAATACAACAACAATACAACAGGCAAAGCACGCCCCAAATCAGCTAAGAGTAGTACACCCACATTTATGGAGAAGCAAGGATGGAAATACTAGAGCGGTACTCTTAGTCCAACAGAATTCCAACTTTAATTACTGCTTTTAAAAGTTCCTCTGGTTTTCCCACTTACCTGCAATAATTAATTGAAATTTAGAAATAAAAAAAAATGTATTTCTTTATATTTATCCAGCTAATGTATAGTTCTTCTAGGAATAAATACACAAACTTCCTGAAATCGGTGTATTAACCCTTTTAGCGCCATTGTCAACTTTTGGCATCATCTCCAAAATGATTTTGTACCGTCTGCTTCTTCCAACATGAAATATTGATAAAATCTGACAAATCTTTTTGTCAAAAACTAAATGCAATACCTGAAACTGTTTGTATGGTCCAAAACAATGATAAAATTTAGTAATAATTTTATAAAATGTGAAAATATTGTTTTTGTTTTTTGTCAATTTTTTGGGTATTCTTCAGTCCATGAGTCAAAACTACCAGATACTAGATGTGTAAAGAAAGAGTAATATGTCCTGACATATATAACATTTTGGTATTACGTGGGTTAAAAATTAAAAAAAACATGCCCCCCAAAAAAGGGCATAACACCTTTAATGTTTGAATAAAATGAAATAATTCAAATAAAAATATCTTGTTGTGCTGTTAAATAAAAATATGCTAAAAAAACTGTCCATCCTTTTGATGTAATTCTGGTATTTTAATTGTTGAATAAAATTAATTAATTGCGAAAGCCAGGGGAACTCAACTTTGCTTCTCGAAAAAAATGTCTCTATACCTTGCAAAGACAAAAGATTTTGCAACTAACTGATGTTGAGGGCGCTATATATATTATAATATGAAATATAAAACCTAATTTAAGTTCAGAATTAATACAAATGAGTTATTTAAAAATAATCAAATATACAAATATCAGATTAAGTCAAAATTACTATCATACAAATCACACATTTGTTCAATCATATGCACTGCTAAGAGCTTAATGATTATGCAAATTCACTAAATTAACATAAATTATGCAAATTTTTCACTTATTAACATATTCATTATTTACTGCTACTAATATTATTATTCATAAGAAATCATTAACACACTTGGTAATGAGCTTATCAATATTTTCTGTTGAGTCTAAGGAATTGCTCCAGATTTGTAACAATCCTTTTTATTTACAAGTGTAAGTGTGAATACTGCCCTCTATGGTGGTGATGTACTGGTGACCTGAGGTGTTCTACGCTAGTGTGGGTTACTTTATTTTAGCTACAGTTTATTTTCACTGAGAACTTTAATTGAAGCAATACAGACACCGTGTTGGATACAAGTCCCAGGCAATGTGCTAAACACGTATAAAATGCATTATTTGTTTACGCAAAATTCAAAGTTTTAATATTCCTTCAGAGAAAATAAACTCAAAGTTAATATAAAGCATTTACTGTATTTACCCTCAGACTAGTAATACAACAGGCTGGCAACGCGGCGTTTTCTTTTGAAGTAATGTGTGCCACGTTTGTTTAGGTTATCAGTTCTTATCGTACCGAGTAAACGTT